TAGGCACGTGTGGCAATTAACAAATTCTAACAATCAAATTTATAAGTAATATTATAATTATTGTATTGAGAGATACAATATAACGAAATTTGTTTTAAAAACCCTAAAAAATTTAATAAACAGCTCAAAAAAATATCAAAGTATTCATTAGAATATATTGACAAGTTAAAAATAAATAATAATATTAGGTACATAATTGTAAAATACAAGAATTATCTAAATTCAATTATAATAATGATTAATAATATAAAATTATTGTGTAATAGGAATTTTTTTTTTTTGTTTAAATACAAATGTTCTTACATAATTAAGACATTGTATACATTTTGAGGTACAGCCTTACTAACACTGACTCATACATATTATGATGCATTATAGTATATATGCAGATGAGGACTTCTACAGGTCAGCCACCTAGATCTTAACGCTGAATAAAAAAACAAAAAGGACAAGGGAGGTAAGGCCAATATGCGGTAGAGTCAGAAAAACAACTATAAATTTAAGTTTAAAAAATAAATTTTGACAAAGTCTGCACATAATATGAGGGCTTTTTAAAATAATAATGATATCATTATAATTTTAAAAAGCCCTCATAAATTTGAGAATAAGCTCAAAAGATATATTTTAAATTTTACATGGAATGAAACAGGCATTGGATTTGATGATTGATGGAAATAAAGGACATAAGAATGACATAAACACAAGCGATAATGTAATCAATTGACATGAGGGCACCTAAGAGCGATAACTAACAGAATAGATTAAACAATATCGTTTATTTAGGCGTCAGTATCAAGGGTTACACCCAGTGTTGGGAATAGATAACTAAATTTCTATCTAGATAAAGATAAAGATAAATAATAAATATTTTATCTAGATAAAGATAGAGATAAATAAATTTAATTTTTATCTAGATAAAGATAATTAAACAACCATTTTATCTAGATAAAATTAAGATAAATTGTATAATATGAAAATTTATATTTTTTCGCAATAGATATTTAACTGTTCTATTTTCATAACCAACACAACCATAGAATTCAGTGTCCTTTTAATAGAGCAGAGAGATCTGGATGAATAATAAATATAAAATAGGTATTAATTTTAATTATTGTATATAACTATATAAGGGTAGAATAATAAATCACAGTTAGTAACTTACTATTTATCTATTCTGTGCTACTATCTACTACAAATCAAGTCTTATTTTTAAGGTAGAAACAATAGTAAAACTTTCATTTAAAAGAACATTATTATGTTATAATTAATAAACTTTCAAATCATGTGAAAAAATCTTTTAATTTTAAATTTTAATCAACAC